TATCAGCAAACCTGCATCTTCAGAAATTAGCAAGCTCCATCTCCTGGCTTTTGCTGTGCAGAACAAACCTGCTTGGGTGGCACGCTGTCTTTCATCGCTCCTCCTTTTTTTTTCTAGTTATCAAGACACCCTCATATATGTGTATGTCCATTCTGGCTGGTTTCTTCCTAGTTTTCCAGCATGCTGTTCAGTAGGCTCTCAAGGTTCTTTGGAAAAAGGTTTCATCACTTGATTTGTGGTCCAGTCAATTGATCCAGCATTGTTTGAGTCCCCTGACAGCTGTCTATTGCTGACCTGTTCCCTACCCTGCTTCAAGGTAAACTGCTGTATTATTTTAAGGTGCTACAAGGTTAAAAAGGAATCTATGCTCTCTAGGAAAACTTCTTTAACTACCATATCTATATCCCCATTAACAGGTTGCACTGAGAAGGTAACCACCCAGTGCCTTTGGCACCTTTCCTATTTGACATCCTCAGTGAGTTCTTGGGTTTTCTCCTACCTCTAAAAGCCTGAGTGTCTTCTCTAAGATATATCTGCAGGTCTCAGATTTTGTGTTTCAGTTGCACTCTCACATGGGACATGACAACATTGGGAACAAGAGATTTCTTTCTGCATTGATTAATCTATCTGGTATGGACTTGCATAATTTATGCCTTGTCAGTCCAAACATATGCAGATAGTTACAGTGGACACTATTCTGTTGTTATATATTTTATTTCAAAGATTTCCCTGGTGGCGGGGGTGGGGAAGGTGGGTCAGGAGGGTAGGTTTGATTTCTACTTTAGTCTAGATTGACATGGCCATTTGGGTCAGTAAGTTATTGGTGACTCTGGTTTCTGGTGTCAGATGTACAAAAAAGCTACCTAGATCTGGGGCAGGATGGGGCCCATGTGAATCAAAGCTATAGGGCCTCCAACTTATTTGCACTTTTCCAATAGGATACTTGCAAAAGAGGTATAAGCATTATAGTATTCAGCACTGTTGTTGCGAAGCCATGCTAAGTCATGTTTTGTTTCAAACACGTTCCATTTCCCTTAGGAAGGCAGATTAACATCTACCCCCATGAAGGCCACCGTTAGGCCCTTGGGCTCCTCATGCACACCATCCATCAGCAATCTTATTTCTCAGTCCCTAAACGGTCCTGTCTCCTAATTGAGAACAATGAACATTTGTGTGTATTCTACTGTAACATTTCACATCAAGCTGTTATTTTTTCTTTCTTCCCTTTAATTTATCAATTTTCAATACATCTGCAAAGGTTTCCTTTGTTTTCTTCCCTCTCCTCCACTGGCCTAGTGCTCTTTGGCCTTCCCAACACAACTGTCACCAGGGCATGTCTCTGGAGCTCCTCTCTTCTGATTCTGCCTCTCTTCCTGATGAGTCAGGTCTCTTTCCTCTATTTCTATCTTCTCAGTTTCCTGCCTTGTATATTGATCTTGGTTGCTTTTTTCTCTTCTGTCTCTTAACTCTTTCTTTCCCCCTCTGATCTTCTTTCTTCCCAAGCTGTCTCCTTTATTTTTTATTTTTTTGTCTTCCTGTTTAAGCCACAGGGGGACTGCTCTCTTCCTCTCCTCTCTGATAGGAGTAGATCAGGTGGGCACCTTGTTGTCTTCTTCCTTTGGGAGCGGAGGGTTTCTTGTTTTCTGCCTCTCCCCCGTTGGATTCAGTGAGAGGCCTGTATTTGCCTGGTAGGATAGGAGTGTCCCCAACTTCCTCTCAGTTGGTGCCACATTCTCCTTTATTCCTGAGATGGGGGATAAGGGAGGGGGGAACATATCAGAGCTCCAAGAATGGGACAGGCTTCCTGGTGGGGTTTCTGCTCCTTTGCAAGCTATGCCTTGTACCTCATAGGCCCCTGACGGGCAAGGCAGGAGTCAGCCCTCTGTTGTGCCTGTCACCTTTGTTCTCTGCTGCCAAAGGGTCTGTTCAGGGGTCTGCTCCACCTGGAGCCCGCACCTGCCAGTGCGATCCAAACCCTTAAAGCACCGTGACTGTGATTCAGTGCAATGGCTCATTGCTGCCATTCAGAAGATCCATAGGAGGGACCAGTGACTTGGGGTTGCAGTGACAGGATAAGTTTCTACAGTCATCCACTCCTCTGCATCGCCTCGCATAGTCTTCATTCTGACACTAAGACTCAGGAAGATTGACAAGGAAATTCTGTTCTTTGTGGGATCCACCAAGGCAGGTCCTGTCTCTCCACCCAACTTGTTTCCTCTGGTGGTGGTTATTTTCTCTTGTTTCTGAAGCATGTAATCTTGGAGCCAATCCTGACCTTAGCCTTTCTTCCAGGGGTCATACTAATTAGGCTGAAAAATGTTGGTCTATGATCGCTTCTCTGGGATTAAATGCATACTTTTTTCCTCTTGGCACTGAGATGAATAGCCAAAAAGGACGAGTTGCTAATCAGATTTAGACAACCTCTTAAACAGGATTTGGTTAGCATTGATTTTCTCTAAAGCTTTTTTTTTCTATTTCATCTGTTTGCCAAGTGCTCTCTGATGTTCTAGAGATGCTAGACAAGTAAAATCCCAGAGCTTGTCATTAGATCAGATTCGCCCCTCGGATTTCCCATTTTGCAACAGGGCATCCTAAAGTGTCTAGTGTCCTTCTACTTTAATAAGGTCCCATGCAACTTGCCCTCTTACATACAAATACTGAATCGGCCTCAAATAGCGTCAGACCTGTGGACGTGCTAATACAAGACTCTGTTCTGAATAAGGACAGAAGATGGAGTGGACCGGGAAGTACAATGGCAACAAGGAAGATTTGGTTATTACAAGAGGAATGAGACATGGCATGAGGTGGAGGAAAAATAAAGCTTATGGGATGTGAGAGCCCTGCTTTGGGAAGTGATACAACAGGGAGAGCAGAAGAAGGGCAAGGCCAGAAAACGGACTTGTATCCAAGGAGGACAATCACTCAAGCAAGCAACATGGGAAGAGGTGGAGGAGGGAAAGGAAATTATACAAACACCTCATGTTCAGGTCTGTCTGCAGGCCACGTGGAGACATGTGAATCTTATATTGAAGCGTGGCTATCACTTCTCTAAGGCTACTGATTGAAAATAAAGGCGAAAAGTTCTCCAGGTTGTGTGCCCGCAAGTGTGTGTACATGTGGGTTTTAGTTTTCTACAGGAATGTCACACAAGAAAAGCTACTTCATTAATGCAAAAATCAGTACATTCATTAAGTTAACACACAGTGGAGATCACTGCAAAGTATCCTGTCACTCAGGCTGAGTACTGTACTACAAATAAGACAATACACTGTAACCTAGGTGACACTGAATTGGTTTTAAATTACTGTGAGGTAACAGGCAATCTCTCAACAACCACTTTTGTTGTATGCGTGTATGTACACCGAGCATGTGTCTACACACACTCACATACACATATGAATTGGATGTGGAGATATTTCCATGTGCACTTTTTTCTAGTTTAACACACACCTATGTGTTATTTTTATTGATGACAACAAATCACAAGTTATTCGACAATAATGAGAACCTCCTATTTCCACACATTGCAGCAATTTTTCATTTTCCACAACTGTTGTCTAAAGCAGTTTCATGTCATGACAGTGGGAGAACCAAAAATCTACACCGTGTGCAGGTGTGTATAAATGTATGTTTTATAGTGTCATAAAACATGCACGCACACACACACACGCCCACATCTGGACCAAAATGAAATGTATGATCCATCTGGTCTTTGTTACCAAAATCACTTTCCCTTTTCAGGACACACGAGTCCTCATTCATCCACCACCTTATTTCCTTCACATATGCAGACTAGTTCCATAATGAAGATCAACCATCATGTATCATACAGTCAGCTGAAAAGTGTGGTGGCCCCACTACAGAAGCTTTATGGTTTTACAGTGATCCAACCATTGGCCATCATTTTGGGTTGAAGCTTGTTTCTAACCATCATTTGAGACCTTTAAAAATCAAATCCTCCCCAGCACAGAAAGATGTCCAAATGCACCCATGCTCAGATAGTTGCTAGCCTAGTATAAAGGATTTATTTTTTAAAGTACCAAATGTTTGCTGGCTCTGACTTGATGGCAAATGCCAAATGGCGACTGCTGTTAACAGCAGTAGGCCCTGCAGAGAATGGAGGCTATCACATCATCCCATGGGCCAGCCATATTTTTAAAGTGACAGCAATGTCGTGTTTCATATATACACTATAGTGTATGCATGTGTGTGTGTGTGTGTGTGTGTGTGTGTGTGTGTATTATACTTTATACTATACCAGTGAGATAAATAAAAACCACCAGCAAATGATACTTCAAGAACTATACCATACAACATTAGCAACGGAAGAGTCTTAAAAACATGTACTGTATTCCTGTAGTAGTAGTTCTGCAGATACCCCTCTGGTATGGTATAATACTGTGCAATACATGCTAGTGAGATGTCCATACACTCTGTCTCACCATTTGGGAGTTGTATAGTCACCCCTAATGCATGAAACTAAGTGTATTATACTGCCCACTATCATTGATTTCCCCGTTTATATCTCTTCAAATCTATATATGGATATATAGATAGAGATATCGCATCACACACTTGTTTTATTTGCAGCATGCTTTGTTGTCCTATCATCAAATCTGTTACTGTATAGTTAGCATCTTGTTTAATCAATCAGGGACTAGTTTACTACATGCAACGTCCCACGTTGGATGCCAAATGTTGAAACTAATCAGACTCTATTATTTGGGAAGGGGCTTTTTCTGTAAGTTTACAAATATACAAAAACAGAAGCCCAAACTTCTTAAAAAAAAAACCTCCCACGTTACTACATTTCACCTGGCAAAAAATTGTATACATGTGATTTAAACTTTCCTCTTTATGTTTTGAACATTTCTTTTGGCAATTTTAATAAAGTACAATATATTACAACCGAAAAAAAGAAAAAAATTAAGTTTAAGTAACAGTGGTTAAAAGTGATGTGATCTGAATGTTGCCTCCCCCCCCCCCCCCCCCTCCCCAGAGACAGAGAAAAAAAATCCTCCTCCATCTGATAACTCAATTTGTTTTTCTTTAGGAAGCTAACCAATAGGAAGCAACACAACAAGCGTGTGGTGTCAAATGAAGCTGACCAATTCTGCGCTCTGTATTAGCAAGAACACCCGCCTTCACTGGCTGGAGGATCTTGTGGTTTGTCCAACTTGATGTCAATCACTGATGAAGCAGAGGAAAAAGATAGTTAAGGAAGATCACTTGTTGGTAGAAGGTAAGCCTGCGTATACTGAGCCTCTGGGGACGTTACCACTGTTTAGTCTCAGATAGGTTGTAATTAATTTTAGTGTTTGTAAAAAAAAAAAAAAAAAAAAAAAAAAAGGATTGGAATCAAACATGGTTGATGTTGCCTGTGTCCCCAGTCTACCTCTACAGCACTTCCTCCGCAGTCTATGGTACTCCAGCATTTTTGCCCAGGTGCATCAGAGCAGCTCCTGTGTGTCTCAGCAGACACGGCCAAGGTTGACGGGCCATGTGCTGGGTTTGCATCGTGCCCAGATGCTTTCTAGGATGAAAGCACCAGGTGTACTTCACACATGACCTAAATCTGCATCTGAACCCATGTCTTTTGAGGGGAAAGGCAAGTGAACCTGTTCACCCATTTGGAAGCAGACTAAGTGGTTCTTCCCTTCTCCCATGACACACAGAGCCCTGGGGACATTGGTGGGTTCACAGTTGTGTGCACACACATACAGAACCACAGTTGTACGTCATGGTTTCAGTACTAGGCCAGTCTTCTTCTCATCCAGAACCTGCAAGGATACAGCCCAAGTGAATAACTACTGCATTAAGATGCAAGCACTTTACTCATTACACAGCTAGTTAAGCTGCTATTTCCTTTGCATAGAAAGTGTTAGTCATGAGTTTACCTTGGTCATACTCATAAATGCATTTTTCTCAAACCTTTAAACCAGAACTTCCTGAAAATGGGACTTCTCAGCTCTAGCTAGTGTAAGTGGACAAAGACAAGAAACTCTAGTCTGTCTGGCACTGACCAATCTGATCAGATGGTAAGTACTCCTCAAGTTACCCCTATTGCTAAGCAGGAGACTGCCTTTTATATGAAGCCTGAGAATGATCAACAATTATTTCCTGTACAGTATTTGTTTCAAGCATATGGTAGCTTGATTTATGTTACCCCACTGACTGAAGAGACTGAACTGTTCAACCTGAGATCTTTCTATCAATACCTCGCTCCGTTTTGAAAGGCTTGTAACACAGGCTCACTGATAGGTCTGATCTGTGGTTAGGAGCAAGCAGAACTCATTATCATTTGAGGACTATCATCCTTTAAGGAATGAGCTCAAAATGCCATGATCTGTGGTGATCCAATGAAAGGACACACTGTGGTCACAGCTAAATGTTCATTAATGTGCTTTTGCTAATGCACATTAAATTTAGTACCTCCATCGTGAGGTACTAGCACATTAGCCTATTTAAATGCGCATTAGCAAATGCACATTTTTGTGATGCTTTAATGCGCATTAAAATAGGCTAATGTGCATTAAAGTGCAGGTGTAGATGTGCTCTGTGTTACCATGCAGCACACCTAAAGCTAAATCCACTGTTTCTCATTTCCCATGTCCACAGAGGAGATTCTTAGCTCCACCAAAAGAGAATCCTTTGTGTCACTCCAATGGCAGGTCCTACTGGGTGAGGTAATATGGCTTGTGGGGAGAGAGGGTGCTGTGTGGGGACTGATGGTTACTTTTGCCAGCTGGGAGAAGCTGTTGTCCTGAAGCAGGCTGTGATGCAATCATTATCAGCTGTGCCAATTATTGTAAAAGTCATGCCCTTCAGTGTTTTACTAAAACCAGTAGGTTCTCAACTCATCTGATTCTTCTGGAATCTCAACTTGCAGTTTAGCGAGTCCATTTCTAGCTCTGCAAGTTGCAAAGAGAACTTAAAAATAGCCAGAAAGCAACTAAAGAGCCCCCTTGCTATTGACCTTTTCTTAAATGTAGTGAATTTTTAAAGAGGGCTCCATGTTTTTCTGAAGTCTAGTCTCATGGTTATTGAATCCTTGAGGCTCACAACAGTGGGGAGGAAAGGTAACCCCCTCCTCTGAGTTTTTGCCACTGTGTCCTTCGAAGGGCCTGGCTTTGGAGGGTGTTATGGAGATAGAACATCTGTAACAGCTGTATGGGAAGCTTTGCTGTAGGGCAGGGGTCAGCAACCTATGGCCCAAAGGCTAGATCTGGCCTGCAGAGCCATTGGGTCTGGCCTGTGGATGAGGGGTGGGGTGTAACAGGGCAGTCTGGCCCTCTGAAGAGGGAGCAAACAGCTTCATTGTAGAAGCCCAACTACAGTAGTCAGCTAATGAGGGCATGTCCCATTAGCAGTTAAAACCCCAGGGGAGTGAGCAGAGAGCAGTGAGCTGGGAAAGGCGCAGTTTGCAGCCAGAAAGTGGATTAGATCCCAGAAACACTTGCTACTGGGAAGGGGCCAGAACTAAAGGGACCGCTTCTGTCACTGGGAGAAGGGCTTTTTGTGTGCTTGTTCGCTCAGTACAAGGACTGCATTTGTGATCAGAGGTCTGGCTGAGGTGCTCCCAAAGGAGCAAAGCGGAAGTCACTGCCGACACACTGAGCTCGCTCCCTTCCAGTGAAGGAGCCAAAGTAGCTCTCACTGTCTGTTATCTGCAAAGCTTGTCTCGGAGCTGCCAGTGGTTGCAGACCCACTCCCCCATCCTCCTGTTATGGGGCTGTTATCCTGTCCTTCAAGCTACTGTCAACCAGAGAGAAGACAACCACAGCCCTCCCTCCTCACGCGTGCTGCTTTGCCTCTAAAGAGATGCACAGGAATTCCAGCTGGCCTGGCGCTAAACGCCGCTGAGTTAATAATTTACAAGCTTCCCGGAACAAAGGGCTGAACCCAGGCATGCATTAAAATACACAGCCCGCTCCGAGAGCCGTCACTTCAAACACGCGCCCGGATAAATGCATGAAAAAGTAATGACTTGGGAAAAGTGATGCCTCCTGTGTGACAGTGCACCTGCTGGTGCAGGCAGGCAGGAGTTGTTCAGCTGATGGGTGTGTTGAGGATCAAGGCCTGCCCTGGCCTCCCCACTCAGCCCTAATGGCACCAAGATGCGGTCTCACAGAGCCAGCTTGTGTCCCTCCACAGCATGTGATAGCTGCCTTCAGTCCAGCACACACCAGGGATTTGAGGGCAAAAAGCAGCAATTAAGCGGGAGGCACTGCAGTGCCTTATTCCCCGTTACTAAATGCATGGGAGTGAAACCAAAACTTCCTGAACAATTTCATGACGGGAATTGCATCAACATGTCTTTACTTTCATTTGGATCAAAAAAGGGTCCTGTTGTCTAACTGGGGTCTCTCCTCTCCCTAAGACCACAGAGTTCAAGCAAGCCCTCCTGATCAACACTAACCCATTCCTGTCTTCCATGAAGCAGCAAAATCCATTAAAAAAAATATTACAACCAGCTCTATCTGAGAACTGGGGTGGAAAATTTCACAGCTCCTGGTGGAGGTCTGCCCGTACAGGTCTCCTTAATAGCGTTAATTAGGCAGAGAATCCTGCCCTGGTTCACGGAGAGAGTCAGCCCCGAGTTTGTTGGGGCTCAGCTCAGGGTCACACTGGGTCTCCTGGCCATGAGTGGGAGGAAATCCCAGCTGGCAGTAGCCACAGTGAATGCTGGGCTGAATTGATCAGCAAAGGTGCTCTGCTGTGGGAATGCTAATTAGCTTTGCACCTCATCACAGGATCTCATGCAGTTTCCCCGGGAGGCAGGTTTTGCTGCCGTGGTAATAGGAGAGGTCCTGCCATCAGGAGTGATTATTTTCTGTGGCTGCGGGACCTGGCCTCTCAAGCAGGAGTGGTCCCTCCGCATGTGGCACCTCACAAACTTTGCTGTCAGCACTGGGGACTGGAGGCCTTGGTGGACCTGCCTTGGGAGCCCACGCAGGGATGGGCCTTAGCAGCGTCCAGGTGGCAGGGTCTGCTCAGCTTTGCTTGCAGCACCAGCATGAGGCCTCCAGCCTTTCTGGTGCCAGGGGCGCCTTTGGCTCTGGAACTCCACTTGGTTTAGGATGCTCAGAGCTTTTTTCAGCTTCTTGCAATCTATGCTCACACCCAATAGGCACCATCCTGGCCCATGGAGAAGTCCCTTGACTGCGGCAAAGCAGGCACTACCCCACCTCCGCTGCCTCTTGCTGCTTTGGGCTGGAGGTCGAGTCCTGGCACTGCTGACTGCCAAGCAGCCTAGGAATCGGGCTAGGAGCCGGGACCTGAGTGAGGTCCCGGCTCCTAGCCTGAGCTCAGGCCCCTGCCCCTTGCACTTCAATAGGAGCTTCTCTTCTGGGCTCCCCGGCCAGTGCTTTGGTAGAGAAGAAACCAGCCACCAGCACTGTGTAGTTTAGAGTGAAGCACATTTCTTCCTACAGGATCTTGATTACCTCCTGTGAATTTTCCACTGCAAAGCTGAGCCCTCCCTTCAATGACCCTGAAAACCAAGCCTGATCAAGGGGCTTGGACTTAACTCCCCTCAGAAATATGTGCAAATACAAGAAGGGCATCTGTGGATGGTTCATTTCCAGGGCCGGCCTTCTGCATTAGGAGCCGACCATGGGCCTGGCTGGGACTCAGCAGAAAGGAGGCCAAAGAGCACAACTTTGAAATGCCAGAGACACTCTTGGCAGCAGCATGTCTCTGGGATGAGACGTACACTCCAGTCCAGCGTGGTCTCCTCTGACCTCCGGCCTCAGTTCCCATCTGCCCTTCCCCTCCCGGATCTGTAACTGGTGTCAGGCGGCACTATGAATTCCTCTTTTCCTTCCAGCACCTAACCAGCCTATCGCCTGTGCAACTCTGCCATCTGTGCCATAGCCTCGCTGCCACCCAAACTGACATCTCGTATGGACTCACCTTCATATAACAGCGCAGACTAGATATAACTCTATGACTCCACTAAGGCAGCCCTGTGTAATCTATTAAATGAAAGCACAACCATATAGTTGGGGTTTTTTTAGGTACACAGAGTTCAGTTTGATGCTGCTAACTCCTTCCTGCCGAGGGCGAATGCGTCTTTTGAACTGGCAGCCACAGAAACCACTGAAATCAATGAGTCTTTTGAAGCTGAGCACTCCCCTGATTTAGGGATTAGAATTTATAATGTAGCAAGGGTATTTTAAATTTTCCCT